GTGGTGGATCGGTGGTGGATTGGGGGTGGTGGATGGTGCTTCGCCGGTGGGGCGTGGGTGGTGGTCACCCACCACGGTAGGTGGATAGTGGTGGGTGCGTGGGTGATGGGTGGCGAGTGATGAGCACCATCATCGAGGGCATGGGCAGTGGCCAGGTTGTGCGTGGGTGGACCGAGCCCGCAGCGCCCGCCGCGGCTTGATGCGGCCCCAACAGCGCCTTCCCAGCTGGCCCCACTGCACCCGCCTCCCAAGGCTTTGCCAGTCGTCGCTCGCACCGCTCGTGCGCGCTTTGGTGCGACCGCCGGCGGGCCCGGCCCCATGCCGGCTCGCCTGTGGCGCGTTATGCGCGAGTCTGGTCAACCGGCGCTTGCTGCGGCCTCCTGTGGCACCCTTGGGAGAGGCCTCAGCCTCCTAATCCGTGCCCCCCCCTGCACCCTGTGCAGCGCCGCCTGCCAGTACCGCACCGTTGCCATGGAGCAGCCGCCAGGGGTGGAGATCGTGGCCGGCATGGGGCAGGCGCTGGAGGAGCTGCTGCGCAGGAACAGGTGAGCGCCCTCGCTGCTCTTCGCGTCCCGGGCGCCGGGGCGCTCGAGCTTTGGTGCCGGAACTGGTGCAAGGGGGCACGCCTGCAGGGCGGGGAGTGCCGTTGGGCCTCGCGGCGCGGGGGCGAAGAGGGGGCCCCGCGGGAGCTTCGCCGGGTGCCCTCCACGCCAGCGGCCTTCATCGCACACGCCACTGCGTTTACAGACTCCCGCATCAGGGAGTTTCCAGGCGCCCTTTGGCTCTGCCTCCCAACCACCACAACGCTCACCCACCCGCCAATACCTACCGCCCAACCGGGCCCGCCGTCTGTCCCTGCGACCAACCCACCAGGGAAGCCACCGGGAAGCTGCCCGACGCGATGCTGGTGTACCGCGACGGCGTCAGCGACAGCCAGCTGGGAGCCGTGGTTGATAAGGCAGGTCGGGCCCATGAGGCGGGTGAGGTGGCGGTGGTGGTTATTGGTTCGGTCGCCTCATACGGTAGTCTTGGCATATCACCTTGCGTTGTATGCCAATACGGCACGCTGCTGCCGTTGTATAGTGAAAACTGACCAACACAGGACGGCGTTCCACTTTGTTGCGACAACGCACCTGACCAGCAAACTTGGAGGACCGGCGTTCACATGCCAATTCCACCCGCTGCCCCAATCTGTCCCACGATTCAGGCGTGCGCCGCAATCGGCGGGCCGCCTTACGCGCCGCCGCTCACGCTGCTGGTGGTGTCGAAGAGCCACGGGCTCCGCATGATGGCGGTCACGGGCGGCGCGGACGTGGGCGGCGAAAGGCTGCCAGAGGTCGACAACCCCCTGCCGGGCTCTGTGCTCGACCACACAGTCACAAGGTGGGGGCCTGTGTGTGTGTGTGTGTGTGTGTGTGTGTGTGTGTTCGTGTGTGTGTGTGTGTGTGTGTGTTGAGTCTGTGGGGGGGGTGGGGGGTCGTGCAGCCCAGGTGCAGGGCCGGGCTCCTGAAAACACCCCATGGGCCCGGGGCTTGAGGCGGGCAGACACCAGGCTGATCGTATCGTGGGTGTGCTTGCCGGAACTATAATTCTAGCAACCGTGTTGTTGCTGCCGGGATGCACATTCAACGACGCCCCTGCTCCCGCTACAGACTAGGCACCGGCCCACCGCCTGACAAGCCCCACCTACGTAGTCCCACTCCCACTCCCCTCGCACCCTGACCCAACCCCTCCAAGGCCGCTGGCCTATAGGTACTACCTGGCATCCCACGCCGCCATTCAGGGAGCCTCACGCCCAGGCAAGTGCGCGCACCAATTTCACAGCCCAGCGCACGCCTCTTTTCGCTCTGCTGCCTGCCGCCATTTGGCCCCCGCCGGCGCCCGCGCTGCCGCTGTGCAGGCCCGGTGTCCTGGATAGTTGTCTGATTGGCGTTGTCGGTGTGGCAGTTGCCAGACCCGCTTTTGAGCGCTGCAGTCTTGAGCCTTCCAGCGGCTGCATGCTTCGCTCTTGTCCTGATGACCAGACACTGTCAACTGCCGACGATCAACCGCCAACCGCCGTTCAACCGCCACCTGTCATGACTCATGCAGGTACCAGGTCCTAGTGGTTGACCGGGGCCTGGGCCCTGACACGCTGCAGCTCGTCACCCACTGGCTCTGCTTCACGCATGGCGCCTGCTCAAGGTGCGGGCGCTCCCTGCACCCCGCTGCCCTCTGTCGAGCGTCGTCCCATGCGCGCCATGTGCGGAGCCCGCCCGCAATGGCCGCCGCAGTTGCGGCCGTGCCCCTAGACTCCCGCCGCCCTGCCCAGCTGCATTTCGCCCTGTTTGAGGCTGCCGCTGTCCTGGGATCATGACACGTTGGCTACGCAGCCCGGCTCAGTCTGTGCCCTAACCCATTATCCCTCCAAACATCTCCCAGATCTGTCCGCCAGCCAGTGCCTGCTCGGTACGCAGACCAGGCGGCAGCCGCGGCGGCGCTGCTGGCCAAGCGCGGCGCATGGCCGCAGCGGCAGCAAACTGGCGGTGGTAGTGGGGGCAGCGGCCGAGCGGGGGCGGAGCAGGGGCCGCACTACCGAATGATCCCCCTGGCTGACACGCTGGCAGGATCCCACTGGTACCTGTGATGTGGTGGGGTGAACAACAATGGGAGAAAATAAAGGATTGGCAGAAGCACAACAAAAGAGCGAAGCAACTGGACCCTGCGTTTTGGTTAGGGTCCACAATCCCTGTATTGTCTGAATTGTCTGATTGCCGACGCACAGGGTGAGATTTGAGTATTTCAGCTGTCGCTTGAGGACTGATGCGATGTGAGGGCATGGTTGCGTAGTTGGCGCCGCGGGGCGGGACGAGATCGCGCCCCCAGTGTGAAAGTGGTGTTGCACTCGAGTGCAGGCCGACCTGGCGCACCTGCCGATTGTACTTCCACTTGTACGCCCCTGGTCAACCCCAGCCTGGTGCGGCGCCACTGCCGCCAGAAGCACCGCAGTTGGGCCAGCCAAATTTGTCAGGCAGTCCAATGTGTTTGTGGGAGCGAATAATGCATGTGGGAGCAGTGGTCAGAAATTGCAGAAGCTTGGGCCCGCAGGCACGAGGCAATATGCGAGCCCTTGTGAGGACTCGGCGCCCATCCGGCGGGCACCACCCACAAACGCCTCCGCGCCCCCTCCTCACACACACACATACAAAACCACCCTCCACACACCCCCAGGGTGAAGCTGCAAAGACGTGCTGCGCGAGAGAGCTGCATGCAGCCTGCAGGGGCGTCGCATCTTTCGTCATCAAAACCACGGTGAGGCCACTCGGCTTCCGGGTGACTTCCAGGCGGCTCCCGGGCAGCTTCCCGGTGCGACCAGCCGTACCCTGCGCCGGATGAGGATATGGCGGTCAGGCGCCCTGGCGGCCGTTTGTGCGAGGCTCTGCAGGGCTAGTGACGGGCAGCATACCAAGCTGCAGCGCCCTGGCCAGCTCTTGGGTGGCGGTCTGCTGCGCTCTCCCCACCCTCCCTTGATGAGATTTCACCTGGGCCCTAGCCTTCTGACACGGTCAATCCTTGCTGTGGACGCGCATGCGCACAACGCAAAGGGTTGCCGCTGTCTACGAGGGTGTTTTGCGGGAGGCGTGGCAGTGGTTCGGGCTGCCGGTGCGCCACGTGGCGCTGCTGGACAACGAGCGCGCCTGGTCTCGACAGGGGGTACCGAGACGGCCCCATACAGGCACCCTCCTCCCAGCCAGATGCTCGTCGCCCGCACGCGCGGAGCGCCGGTCGGCTTCGCGCCACCGCATGTGCACAGGCCAATCACGTCGCCTTCGTCCTCGCGCGTCCTGTCCAGCTAGCCCCAGCCTAACTGCATCCCTGCCGCGCTGCCTGCTGCGACCCCGTGCTTGCTCGACTCTCCACCCCGCCCCGGACCCAGGATTTCTCCAAGCGCGCCATCCAGCCGCGGGGCACGGCCACGAGCTACCGAGGCTACCAGCCTCTGGGGGCCAACATGACGCGGCTGCCTGGCGGCGGGTTCACGCGAGACTGGCACGAGGTGGGGCAGGGGGGACCTCGGCCGTTTGTGTGGACCTCGGCCGCGCGCGTTTTGTCCGCAAAGCCTCGGCCTCACTGGTGCCCTGGCGCAACCCCGTGCTTGCTCGACTCCCCATCCCGCCACACCCCCAGGATTTGGCCAAGTGCGCCATCCAGCTGCGGGGCGGAGGACCCCGCTGAGGTCCAGGTGGGCGGGGTTGGGGCACAAGGCGAGGGAGCCGCTAATGTCACAAGGGCGTCACCTCCGCCCCCACCCCCCATCTGCCTAATGGAGTCGCAAATGATGCACCCTTAGGACCATCCCAATCCGCCAATTTGGGGCGGGGTCGCGCCGGCCCACCAATCAGCCTGCTCACCAGCGGTCGGCTGGCATTCTTCGTGCAGGAGACTGCTCAAGGTGTGTCCCACTAGCCACCCCTGTCCCCTCATCCACTCCGCCACCCTCGCCGCCGGCTCTCTCCCTCCCACTCAGGCGCGCGGCCTGCCCCCCAGCCCCATCCACGGCCCCAACTTGAGTCAACCCGTGGCCCTCCCAGTCGCCCGCTTCTTAGGCCGCCCTCAGATCATACATCAACGGCTGCCTAAGCTTGGGCTCCGCGCTGCTCCGAGGCATCGCGCTCGGCCTCAGACTGCCCGAAATCGCGTTTGGCGGCGGACTTTCGGCGCCGGAGCGGTCCTACTGGGTGGCAAGGGTGATTCACTACCCGCCCGTGGCGCAGCGCAGCGCGCAGCCAGGCGGCGGGCGGCTGCAGGAGGGCGCGGCAGCGACGGCGGCGGGTGCGTGCGCTCCACCCAATGTGTGTGTGTGTGCGTTTGTGTGTGTGGATGCGTGTGTGCGTGTGTGTGCGTGTGTGCGTTCGTGCGTGCGTACGTGCGTGCGCGCGCGCGCGCGTGTGTGTGTGTGTGTGTGTGTGTGTGTGCGCGCGCGCACGTGCGTGTGTGTTGGTGGCTGGGGGGGCGGAAGGCAGGGCATGCAGCAGGACGGGCTTGCCTGAGCTGTCTGGGCTTGATATTGATGTGATATGTCTTAATTGAGGGGTAGTGGCGTCCGCCTGTGACCGCCTGAGGCTGGTGCCATTCGCCGGCTTGCTCCTCATCCTCCTGGACCAAGGGGCCTCCCCCTGATCTCCGGGGCCCCTCGACGCCGCGCCTCCTGGCCAGGTGCTGACGTCAGCCGCGACATGCAGCTGAGCTGCGGCCAGCACACCGACTACGGTCTGTTGACCCTGGTCAACTAGGAGGGCCACGTCACCGCACTGCAGGTGTGCTGGTGGGGGCGCATCGGAGTGGGTGTATGTGGGCACGTACATACACATGCGTATGTGGGAGAGGACAATAATTTGCGGGGGAGGCAGGGTGTGTGAAGGCGTGTCAGGGTGTGTTTGTGTTGTGTGATGTGGATCAAATTACGCACAGGCAGCCGGCTTGTCAAGAGAGGCAACTCAGACTCCCCGCCTGGATCAGGGGCAAGAAAGGCATGCGCGCGACCAGGCCCCAACCAGACAGCCATCTGCTGCGGCGGTCGCACGAGCAGGCCGCGGCGCCCCTCGCCCTGAGCCGGGCCAGAGGCCTCTGTCGTTGTCTGTGCATGACTCATGCCATAACTTTGTCACGGCTGGCGCGCCCTGCCTGTTGTGCCCAACCATCTCAGGTGAAGAACGCAGCCGGCGAGTGGGTGGACGCCACACCCATCCCGGGGACCTTCGTTTGCAACATCGGTGAGGTCCCTGGCCACTGTCCGCCCGCACCGACCCCGGCGTGTCGGTCAGTTTCCCCGCAGTGCCGGTCGGCCACAGGCCCTGTTCTGGCCCCCATTGCCTCGCCGTGCGGTTGTCAGCAACGCCGGGCTTGGCCAATGGCACCCCGGCCCCCTTATCCACCGCGCCGCAGCCGCCACTGTCGCGACGCCCGCCCCTGATGTTACTCCCCCGCTGGCCCTCCCATAGCAGACGCATGTACGGCGAGACCCCTCAAGCCATCATGTGGCCAATCATTGGCGTGCGCCAATGATTGGCGCACGCCCTTGCCCCCACCGCCCCCAGGCGACATGTTCCAGACGCTCACGAACGGCCTCTACACCCCCACCCTGCACCGGGTCCTCAACACTGACCCCGCGCGCTCACGCGTAACAATACAGTTCCTCGACGAGCCGCCCTTCGAGGCCACCATAGCGCCGCTGCCCCAGCTCGTGGCTGCCGCAGCGTGCGGCGCGGCGGCCAACGGCGTGGGGCGTGCCGCCCGGTTCCCCGCACTGCGCTAAGGCAGCCATCTTGAGTCCAAGGTGCTGTCAAAACTTCGAGCTGTGATGTTGACGTTTGAAGCGGCGCGGACAGTGCGGGCGTACGACATGTGATCCTCAAAATTCGTTGCGCCGCGCGGCGCGGTTGAACACTGGTGTTTTGGGTGCCACGCCTGGGTGATCGAGCGGAGCGGTTGCTGGCACCTATCGACGCTGAGACAAACGAACATGCGTATGTCATATGTATGGATACGCTGTTTGTCTTGTGCGGAAGCCGCGGCGTGCGCTTCCTGTTTGCTGCTCAACAGCACTCACACAGCGTTGGTGATTTGCAGCTTTCTGCTTTCGTTGCCCGTCCCACGCCCTTAATCGATGCGGTACGGGACTCTCCTCAATGCATGGAACCACATGCACTGGAACTGAGCCCAACCTTCCAGGGGACGCAGATGTCACGTTGGGGGAAGGGCTGTATCTGTTACAGGGCGCTGTACGTTTTGTTTTGTTTGGAAACCACACTAACCGCTGCACTCCTTGCAACATCTCGTCTTGAGCAGCGCTTTGTGGGATGCTGGCTGAGGCTGCGCTGGTTGGCGCGATTAGGGCGCAAGCAGCAGCTATTGGAAGGACGGTCAAGCCCATGCAGCAATTCACACGGCTGCTCACGTAGATCTGCCCCTCAGCCAGTGTCCCTCAGTTGACGAGACCGGCCAGTCCGCAGGATTGCTGCCTCCTTGCAGGCGCGGATGACATGTTGACTGGGACGCGAACCGCAGGGACCCATCCTACCACTGTGCAGCATGGCGCGGCCCGCTGCACTGTCATGGGATCGCCCATTCGCGGGGTACCTCAGTACCCTCATCAGCAGATTGGCGCAGGGTCTCGGAGAAGGCGACACATCCCGTCGCCGCCGCTCCAAGGCGCACTTGCTAATAACACTATAAAACAACCGCATGATCTTGCATCGGCGATAAAAAGCACCGCAGGCGCAAGGCAGGGGATGATTGAACGCACAAATGACAACCTGAGTTACGATCCTGTCATTGATCCGCCACCTCTCCTTGCAAGCAGCAAAATGTTGCACTTGCATGCACTGTAGCGAAGAAGGCGTCCGTGTAACTCGGAGTCACCGCACTCCGACGCCGCTGTTGTGGCCCGGACACAGGATAGAACGGGGCATTGGCAGGCCCCCGAGACGTGCTGCCGCACGGTGCAGCACGTTGCCGTGCGCGTGGGCCATGCGGCGCCCGACTCTGCTGCCACTCTTGGTGCTGGTACTCGCAGCGGCCGTGGCAGTGCTCAAGGCGGCTGCTGCGCCGGCCGCTGCGCCCACGTCAGACCCGACACCTGCGGACTTGGCGGGGTTGCTCATACCCAGCGTACAGGCCGTCTTCGGTGACCGCATACCCAAGGACGGCCTCGGTGGTGTGCTTCGGGTGAGGCCATCAACGGCAGCAGGGCGCAGCGCGGCGGCACAACAGAGCGCACAGCAGTGCGCTTAGCATGGCGAAGAGCAGGGTGTGGCGCGACGGCGAGCAGGGCGCATCGGCAGCAAGTCCGACCGAGCAACGCCCCTGTGCCCCTTGTCACATATTGCAGACTGCTGCCCCGACCCACCCTCACAGGCCGCTGACCCAATCACGGCCTGCGCGCCTCTGAAAAACGTCGACAAGAAGACGCCCTGGGTGGCCCTGATCAAGCGCGCGCAGAAGAAGTGCGAGTATGAAGACACGGTGCGCACAGCGCGGGCTGACCAAGCTCACCTCACAGCAGGAAACCGCTGCATGGCGTGCACCCACGGGGGCACATAATGCGGATTGGGCGGCTTGCGCGCACCGCACCGCCAGTCGCCTGGGCTGTGGCACCCCGCCCGCACCCCCAAAACCCCGGCCTCCTTGTCCGGCCCACTCTCGCACCCAAATTATCATGCACACACCAACACACACACGCGCACATACCCATACTTGCTCACAGACACGCACGCATGCAGTCACGCAGGCACACATGCACACACCAACACACACGCGCGCACATACCCATACTTGCTCACAGACGCGCACGCACTCGCACTCAAACTCACATCCCTCCACCCCCCCTCCACACATACACACACGCACGCACACACGCGCGCACACACACCCATACACACCCACACACACGCACAAGCTTACATTCACACTCACACTCACATCCCCCGATTCCCCCTCCACACATACACACGCACGCACACACGCATGCACGCACGCACGCACGCACGCATGCACACACGCACGCACATGCACACACACGCACACACGCACACATGCACACACATACACACACACACACACACTCCCTCTCTCTCTCTCTCGCTGTCCCGCCCTCCTCTCAGACATTCCGTGCCCAGCAGGCCGGCGCCATTGCTGCGATCGTATTTGACTTCAAAACGGACTCCAGCACTGGCGATGAGAACCTCCAGCTGATGCAGCCCTCTATCGCCAACCCCGGCACAAAAATTCCATCTGTGTTTATCTCCCTCCAAAACGGGGACGCCCTGATGGTGCTGCTGCAGCGCAAGAAAACGCCGTTGGTTAACGTGGTGCTGCAGCCTACCAGGGTGGTAGCATGGATCGGGGACCAAAAGGTGTGTTTTGGGGGGCTGGGAAGACCCTAACCCTTGCAGGGGAAGGCCGCAATCAGCGGCGATGGCTCGGCGGCCGGCGCTTGTGGCGTTGTGGGCGAGTGCAGGGACGGCCGATGGCAAATGTGAAGGTGCTTGTGCGATCCCAGCCCATTGTGGTGGGGAATCAAGGGCCTCTGCAGCGGTTCTGAGGCCGCCTGGCCACGCACTTTTGCGCTTAGCAAGAGTGCGTAGCACGAGCCAGGATGCAGGAGTTTGTGTTTCTTAATCGCACACACCCATCCCCGCATGCTCATCATCCTCATCACCCTTTGCGATGAGTACAAATCCCCTGCCCTCCTTCCACTCCATGTGGTTGCTTCCCATGACCGCAGCCGACCGCGCTGACCCTGGCAGCCAAGGCAGGGCCCATCGGCAACATCACCCTCACGGGCAGGCAGGTCACCCTCTCAGGCACCAGCGCCGAAATCGTCGACCGCTGGGCCACCACTATGGCCGGCCTGCGCCCCGGCGACACGCTGATGATCGCCCCCCAGGGGGGCGTGCTCCAGGTGCCTGTGGGGTCGCCGCTCGAGGTCACCGCGGCGATCGTCCTAGCCGGCGCGCCCGCCGGCGCGGCAGGCTCCCGCGTGGCTGCAGGCGCGCCTCAGGGGGCGGCGGTGGTCACATGTGCAAAGGGAGGCGATCAGGCATTGGTCATCAGGTGGGAGATGGGGTGGCGTGGGGGGGTGGGGCGGGGTAATGACACAAGGGTGAGGTAACGCAAGGGTGCAGTCATCTGCAGAGACGCGCACACGCCTGTGACCGCCAACAGACAGCATCACAAGAGTGCAGGAACAGGTTCCCAATAAATGCCAATTTCCGACTGGAGGCTTATCGCACCCCCCATGCCCTCACCGCCACAGGTCCCCCGGCGCGATCCTTGCCCGGATGGGGTTTGTTGGCTGCACCCGCGCGGCCGTCGGCGTCGAGCGCGTCGGCCGCAGCGCCACCGGCACCGGCGGCGTGGTGTATCCCAGAGAGCGCCCCGTGCTGCTCCAGCAGCTCACGTTCCAGCGCCACCTCGCAATGGCGGTTGATTTGGAGGTCGGCACGGCCGCCGAGCTCACAGACTCGCTGTTCAAGGACAACGGGGGCGACAACCGCAACAAGCTCCTCACCAACTATCCCCAGGTCTGGGCCCACGCGGGCGCGGCCCTGGCCGTCAGGAACACCAGGTTCCTTGACAACTTCGACAGCAACATCAACTTTAAGGGGGACCTGCTGACCATCGACAACAGCCAGTTCGTCCGCGCACAGGACACGGCCATCAGGGTCTCCTACCGCGAGCCGCCGGCCCTGCTGTACCGGGGGTCTGCTCTGCAGCCGCCGCTGTTCAGCACGGCGCGCGTGAAGGGGTGCAAGTTCTTGGGCAACACTAAGACCGGCGGCCCGGGAGGAGCCATCTTCCTGGGGACAAACGGCGTGCTGACTGTCAGCAACTCGACATTCACCAACAACTCGGCAGACTCGGGTGCGTGCTGCCAGGCAGGGGCCGGCCTCGGCCCCCTGACAGTCCCAGGGACAGCAAGCGGCCTTGCGCACGAAACAAGCCAATTGCCCGATAGCCGCGCCGCGCATGCACCAGATCCAGGAGTCTGCTTGATCCTCCGACTCGGCTCGAGCATTGCTTTGTCGAGGTCTGCTGGTTGATGACCGCACACCCCCCAAACTATGTACGCCACCCTTGCGCCAGGCGGCGCCATATTTGTCTACGACAACTCCTGGCTAGCCAGAATGAGCGACGTCACTTTTGAGAACAATTCCGCTCTTGGTGAGTCGCGGGGCGATGCATACGTCGTATCTACTAGATTGCAACGCCCCATACGCCAGGGAGCTGACCTGCCAACAGCTCAGCAACAGCCCCCTCAAAGTTTGGCTGCGTCTTTACTTGATGTCAAGCATTGATCATTGTGGACACTTTCCCCTTCTGTGCTGGTCCCCATTGCTTGCTTGCTTTGCAGCCTGGGGCGGCGCTCTGTTCGTCTTCTCTCACGGCTGCAGGTGGGTGGGCAGCCAACCTGGGTTATCCTTGGCTGCAAAGTCCCCTTGCGTAATCGACTGGCCTTGGTGTGATTCGCAGCTCATGGTCCAGTGCCTCCTTTGTTCCATGTGCACGTGCGCACGCTCGTGCGCGTGCACATGCACACACGCACAGACACGCACACACGCACAGACATGCACACACATGCAGGTCCTCTCCCTCTCCCTCTCCCTCTCCCTCTCCCTC